CGTATTTTCTTTTCGGTTTCGATATCCCTCATTATACTCGGCGGCCGAGCTCACGGTCGAGCGACGTACACACGTTGATGAATACGATTTTTTTCTGGAGTAAAACAAAGTTGGTTTCTTTTGAGTTGTGGGGTATTTATGCGAAGCAACACGATAGACCGGGGTTGGGTATTTGCATCAAGAAGAGTTATCTGCGACTCATGGTGAGATATGAAAGGAGGATCGCTTTGCAATTTTGCTAGTGGGGCTTGAATGTGAGAGCAGTTGTTTGGATTGTCTGGTTCTACATGCTGTCGTGGAATGACCTGATACACTCCAGGTTGTATATAGTATTTATTAGTTTTCGACTTCGAAGTTATACCCTGATGAGCGACTAATGCATAAGAAATCGAAGTTAAATTAAATTTAAGGATCAATTTTTGAAAATTGGCTGAGCTGTTAGCATTGTCCCGATATTAGCTACCTATGTCAATAACATGCCATATCTTGATATTATATTGTAGCAGTAGGTCGCCAACCTCCACCTATTAACCAGACTTCTTCCCTCTACGACTGCGCGATTGGTTCGGTGATCAACTCTAAATTCAAGAGTGGATCTTCTTAGGCAAGGCTACACACCTTTTTCAGCCTTGTGAACTTGATTCCGTCACCATCAACATTTTCCTTTGTCCTCCTTCTCATACAACGTCGCTTCCAAATCATATTATCGGTGTATCTTCGATTCTACAACTCGACCCTATACCAAGCACTGCTCTCGGTCTCTTCCTCTTTCGACCAAAGCACGATCTAAACAACTACGACCATGGCCGACTCTGACGGCGAGTATGTCGCCGATATGTCGGACGATGATCTCATGGACCACCGCGTCACAGACGACGATCCTCAAGCGGCGAAAGGAAAATCTGCCAAATCGAGAAAAGGCGACTCAGCTAGAGCATGGGAAGTCTCAAAACGAACTTGGGAGACGAATTTACCAGAGGAAGAAGACGGCATACTAAGTCTCACAGCGCTTGAGGCCGAGAAGCGAAAGCGATTGTTACGCGATACGACGCCCCTACAAAGAGGAATTATTCGACATATGGTGCTTGTGCTGGATATGTCATTTGCCATGACGGAGAAAGATCTGCTACCTACAAGGTATCGTCTCATGCTGAGCTACGCAGCAGCCTTTGTACGAGAGTTCTTTGAACAAAATCCTATCTCGCAACTGGGAATCATTGGTATGCGGGATGGTGTTGCTGTGAGGATCAGCGATGTTGGAGGAAACCCAACAGAACACTTGGAAAAGCTGAAAGGGCTAGAGAACGAAGATCCCCAAGGCAACCCAAGCTTGCAGAACGCTCTCGAGATGTGTCGAGGAGCTCTATTGTGAGTCCATTACTGCGCCACGATGGAGGAACAGTCGAACTGACTTGCTATAGCCATGCACCTTCTCACGGCACACGAGAAGTACTCATTATCTATGGCGCATTACTATCGAGCGATCCCGGCGATATCCACGAAACCATCGGCAACCTCATCACGGATCGAATACGTGTCTCGATTGTCGGTCTTTCCGCCCAGGTCGCTATTTGCGCTGACCTGTGCTCACGAACGAATGTCGGCGATGAGTCACAGTACAATATCGCAATGGACGAAGTCCATTTCCGCGAACTTTTTCTCGCAGCCACGACACCCCCTGTGACACGCACGGCTGAACAGAGCACAGCCAGTCTTCTCATGATGGGCTTCCCGTCCCGGACTCTCGTTCCTAACGGGACCACGAGTTACTGCGCGTGCCATAACCGGCCGTTCCGAGAGGGGTATCTCTGCACCCGTTGCGGCGCTCGCGTGTGCCGCATCCCAGCTGAGTGTCCAGCTTGTGACCTCACCCTTATTCTATCGACTCATCTCGCCCGCTCATATCATCATCTTTTCCCGTTACGGAACTGGGTCGAAGTGCCCTGGATTAAAGCCAGCCGCTCTGCCGCCTGCTTTTCATGCCTGGCGCCATTTCCTGAGCCACCGAAGGGCAAAGCACCCGATAAGTCGAAAGAAGATAGTGGCGCACCAAAGACAGCCAAGGGCGTCAGTGAAAGCGGGCGATATGCATGTGAAGTGTGTGGACAACACTTTTGCATCGACTGTGACGTCTTTGCCCATGAGGTTGTCCACAACTGCCCGGGTTGCCAGAGCTTATTATCTAAGACAGATGTCGCTGCCTCATCGGGTGAGCCGAACGGTACAGCTGCATATACCAACGGTGATGTTGTGATGACATAGATGTTGAGACTGTATGTTTGTAAAACTATGTGTCGTTATTTATAGCAAAAGATGCAAGAGAAAGGAGGTCGATATCCCAGGAACGAACAAAAGACGAGGTGACATTCCTCTATGCAATAAATACTGTGAGTAAGCATCATACATAACGGCCTCGGAGCGGCGCATTAGGAATCAAAGTTTTTATCAAGTTTTTATTTCAATTCAGTCTAAGTTATTCTGCGAGCAAATGGCTCGTAGGCATTTGTGTATCCTTGTCAAGTATCGTAATAATGACATGCTATCGTAAACTCATCTCATGCTTCAACGGAATTTTGGTTCTCCTTAATCCTCCTCATGCAAAATGGTTAGAGAGTATATGCATATGTGATGCAAATTTGACTTCCCTGCATTGATATGCTCAATCTTATGAGACAACCCTTTTACAGGTTTCCACGCTCAGCTTGCTCACGCTCAATAGCTTCGAACAAGCTCTTGAAGTTACCAGCGCCGAAGCCGTCAAAGTCGTTGCGCTGAATGATCTCAATGAAGACCGTGGGCCGGTCCATGAGGGGCTTGGTGAAGAGTTGAAGCAGGTAGCCACCCTCATCGTAGTCGATTAGGATGTTGAGACGCTCGAGAGTCTCAAACTCTTCCTTGAGCTCCCAGTTGCGACGCTCTGTCTTGAGACGGTGGCGCATGTCAGTGTAATATGAAGGCGGAACGTCGATGAACTCGACACCACGAGCCCGAAGGGCTGAGACGGCAGTGATGATATCAGGTGTAAGAAGTGCAATGTGCTGAACGCCAGGTCCAGAGTTGAAGATGACGTACTCCTCAATCTGGGACTTCTTCTTGCCAAGAGCGGGCTCATTGATGGGCATCTTGACGATGTTGTTTGGTGAAGCCATGACAACGGAGCTCAGAGCTGAGAACTCGGTACAGATCTGTGAATCGTCCACAGACCAGAAACGGTGGAAGGAAAGGCACTGCTCGTAGAAAGCGCAGGCCGAGTCCATCTCGTTCCAGGACTGGTTACCGACGCAGTGGTCGATGCGGGCTAGGGGAACATCTGGCAGAGACACAGTGGCACTGTGCTTCTTCCAGGTTCGGTAGCCAGGAAGGAAGGGTCCAGTATAGTTCTGACGGGAGATGAGAGTATGAGTGGTGTCACCATATGTGCAGATGACGGCTGTGGAGACAGAGCCATGCTCCTTGTCCTTGCTAACCTTGGGGTCTTGAACAGCAATAGCACCCTCCTGAACAGCCTTGTGATACACTCCCTCAACGTTCTCGACCTCAAAGGCAACGTCCTTCACGGCGTCGCCATGGCGTTCGAGATGAGTGTACATCTCCTTGAGGAGCTTTCGGTCCGACTTGGAGATAGGTTCATCGTCAGGGAAATGAGCTTCAGATCGTAGAGGCGAGGTGAAGACGAAGCGGACATCGTTGTTCTCAATGACATACGAGGCAAAGTATCGACTTCCAGTCTCGAGCCCCTTGTAGGCGATGGGCTTAAAGCCGAAAAGGTTGGTATAATATGAGGCAGCCTGTTTGGCATTACCAACCCACCAAGTTATGTGGTCATAGCCGGTGAAGTTAGGGGGCGGCTGAACCGCAAAAGTGTTGTCTGCTTGGTCGAGGGCAGAAGTGATAGGAACAGTAGTAGGCTGAGTTGCCTGCTGAGGAGGAGAGTTGGTGATGGCAGAAGGGGACATTGACACACAGACGGTTTGATGGGAGAGTCTTTGATATCAGAATAGAGTAAACGTTTGTTTGAGGCTTGTGTGCTAGGGTCAAATTGTTTCCGTGTGGTGGCTTTGAGAAGCTAGGTATGCAGGAAGTTCGTAACCGACTTGAAGTGATGGCTATGGATAAGATGGGGGGCAATAGGCAAGTATATGTAAGAAATCTCAATCTTGATTCAAGCCCGGCTTAGCCATGAAGCAACGAGTATTGCTTGTTACTTTGTCATTTCTCACACGGAACGGCTCCGCCTGGAGAAGGCATTATACGGCCCAAGACAGGCCTGCCAGGATAAGTAGGAGATAGCCCATACCAGCCATATCCATCGGTAACATCCTCGTTGGCTTTCAGAGTATCAATGAAACCGGGAACCAATGGTATTTGCGGCGTAAGAAAGCAAAGCCATGCCCGTCATGGCAGGGTTAAGGGTCACGCGCGGGGCTTCCGCGTCAGACGGCGGTCTGATTGATATCATCAAAGAGCCAACAGAGCCCAATTGATCGATCTCAAAGGCGGTAGTGCCGAAGGTTGTCGATGGTGGTTGTGAGGTTATCACTGCGGAACTTCCCCGGCCGAGTGTCCCGCTGCGGCGCCAGCCGCCCCAAGCCGACATTGGCCGACTACTTCCAGAAGTCCCAACACGGCTTAACGACCATTCTATGGCGGCATATCCTATGATGAACTGCGGAACTGTCAGCAGCAAGTAGGCCGAAACATCCTTGCGAATAAGAGATACACGACAATGCAGAGAATTAGCCGCCTGAGTATCGATCTCCCCCGCTAAAGCCGAGACACCTTTCAAGGCAGGTCGGCTTATCCAGCATGCCAATACCAGGAATGATATTTAGAACATGAGCCAGCCCTTCTCAGCGTCACATCGTTTTCTGAACGTTCCAGGATTGACACCTCCAGAGAGAAGTTTTCTGAATCTATCGTCCTCGCCGGATCAGAATCGAAGGTCTCAACAAATTAAACCATTGAGTTATCTGCTCAGCCACTACTCGACAACAGCCGAAATGGCATCTGTATGCTTAAGCAAACACGACATCAATATCCTCGAGAAAATCAAGGATCCGGAGTCAAACCCATATGCCGGCATCGTTCTCGACTCCTCATTACCACGTGACCCAAACATCACAGATGCCACCGTATATGAGCAAATAGTCGAGAGGGAGCGAGAGATCATTCGTTCCATTCAGAACCTTGAAACCCAATTGAAGAGTCTTGGATCTGAAGAAGTAAAAGATATTGCCGTCAAGGGTTACCAGCAAAGCCTTTCGGCGGTTGAGGGTATGATTGCTGCGCATCCCAACTACGCCAGCGCCAGAAACAACCGTGTACAGATCCTCCGGCGACTATACGGGGATGCAATGCTGCTCTCCGATACCAAAGACAGCTCCGCGCCTTTAATTGAGACACCCGACCAGGCGGAGAGGAAAAAGGCTGTTGTCACAGCACTGAGCGATATTGAAGCATCAATCGCACTCCTCACACCGTCATCACCAACCATGCCCATTTCTCCGCAAGTTGCACGCACTCTCTCTATGGCTCACACGCAAAGAGCTGCATTATATTTGAAAACAGCCAGGCTGTTGCTAAGTCGTTCTTTGGATATCGATGAAACCCTTCAAGAGTCCAAATGGGAAAGGCTCGACTTTGAGGATGCTGCATCTCGAGACCTAGCGTCTGGTGGAAGGTACGGAAATCCAATTGCAAAGGGCTTGGCTGTGAGCGTCAACCCAACGGCCAAACTCTGCGGACAAATTGTTCGAGAAGCAATGAAGAAGGAATATGGTCCGTCGTTTGGTGACTAGGTGCATGTATATAATGAGACAGAATATCCAAAAAGGCTTAACATGCCATTAAGATCTTTGAAGATGGCAAAAACAGTAGTGACTCAGATGTCGAAGCGAACCTAGACACATCATGAAGACTTAGAAGAAAGTCCAACTCGTCTATGCTGCTAGTCAGTTTTTATCCTATTCGAGGCTGATGATTTGCGGGATTACCGTCGTGCAGCTTCAAGAGTCTGTTGAGTTGTTCGACCTTTGTCTTTCTCTTCACGGTTGATTCTGGTTGCAGCGGCTGAAAGGCCAATCAAGACACCGAAAATTGGATCCGCAGCGCGGGAGATGATATATGTTGGTGCAGGCATCGTGAGATTCCTATCTTATCAAGTACACGAACAATGATGAAGTGAGATGGCTCAATGGAGCTTTGCCTAACACCATACATACAATTGGCGCCGCCAAGTCAAGCTTAGGTAATACAGACTGAGTGCCGCGAAAAGTTCAGGGCAGGTCCTCATGCACGGACCATTCACACAGGACGCTCCGAAAAATGTAAGGCACCTTGTCATGTGACTATCCGGGTCTCGCTTGCACACCAGCCCACACAAAATATTTTGGTGCGTAATTTGAACTTGTCTTGACAACTCCTCGCAACTTCACTAACCAGCAGACAACACACCGCCGGACAAGATGAAGTTCCTCAAGGTCGGCCGAGTCGCCATCATCACCCGCGGCAGATACGCCGGAAAGAAGGTACGACGCGCCGGACAATATTCATGCTGCTATTCCATGGCATTTCCCGAGTTCTGCGCCATCCGAGCAAGATAGGGTCGAGGGAAGGGATTGAGAAGAAGAAGAAGCCTTTGTTGTTTGATTTGTCACGATACGGAGCGCAGAACTTGGAGGAATACTATGATGGGAAACGATTCTTGCCGTCGTTTTCGTCAAGGAACCATTTCGCTGACTCGATTTTGCTTCACATAGGTTGTCATCATCCAGCCCGTTGACAACGGCAACAAGCCTCACCCTTTCGGCCACGCCCTGGTTGCCGGCATTGAGCGATACCCCTCCAAGATCACCCGCCGCATGTCCAAGACCCGCCAGGAGAAGCGAAACAAGATCAAGCCTTTCATCAAGGTCATCAACTACAACCACTTGATGCCCACTCGCTACACCCTGGAGCTCGAGGGCCTCAAGGGTGCCGTCTCCAACGACACCTTCAAGGAGGTTTCCCAGCGCGAGGATGCCAAGAAGACTGTCAAGAAGGTGCTCGAGGAGCGGTACACCAGCGGCAAGAACCGATGGTTCTTCACCCCTCTCAGTACGTTATACCGTTGCTGTGCCATATCACTCGGGCTCTTGAGCATCAAAACCCGCCGAGTGGTTTTGACATGGATTCGAACTTATGGAGCCTTTGCTGACCATCCACCACAGAGTTTTAAAAAAGGAATCGTTTCTCCATCACGGTTAGGGAGTTGGCGGGATGTACAGAGCATCGATGGCATTAAGGAACGCCGGTTTTTATGGGCTCAATATGAAGTTTCTTAAATCACAACCAGATCTCTACTTGCCGCGTGATTGTAGCGTCAATATACAACGCGGATCGGACGGACGTGTTGTCCCGACCGAAGGATACCACAGGCGGAGTTCAATGAATTGGTGCCATCAATGAGGTGTTGAATAGACCTTGAGGACTTTTCTTGACGGTTGAATGTCTACGAGGTATATGAAATCCATAACATGAATCAAAAATTACCGTCAAAACGTAACATTACGCGCACAAACAAAACCTGCTGAAACGAAGGAGAGGACAAGTAGATCAATGAACTTTTGTTATGGTAGGTTTTTCTTAACCGTTTCGTTTCTACATGTCTATGGCCAAACGCCGTCTAGAGTTACACATCAATTAGACCTTTCGTGATGCGGTTCATGCATGCAACCGCTACCTCGCGCTCTGCGCCCAGCTCTATGGCTTTACACTTCATAAGACCTCCCTTCCCCAATCAAACAGAATATATCAAAAAGTCTCCAATCCGCAGAAAAATGCGCCGAGTCAATCCGACTGTGGACACATTCTGACCAAGCTCAATAGCTTGGTTGGGCGTAATACATAAGGAAATAACGGATATAGAAAAGAGGTTCCTTAGATCGCCGTTCGCCCCGTAAAGTAAACGTCAGGGTCTTGTTTCCCATTGGCACCGTATATTACAGAGCTCTAGACGTGCTGGGCATCGTTGATACCGAAACGGTTAGACACCTCATTGGCAAGTCTAGTGGGATCGACCTCTGAGGAGTAACCGGGAGTAAGACCACCGAAGAAAGTGAAGATGAGGAAAGCGGTGGCAATGATGATGGTGACCTTGCGGAGAATGGGCTTGCGAGCACCAAACTCGGCCCATTGTCGGTTGGCATCAGCGATGTGGCCCTTGATCTGCTCGTAGCCGAGCTTGTAGTAGACCATGCCACCAAGAGCAATGGAGTAACCGAAGAATTGGAGACCAGTAACCTGGGTGCCCCAGATCATCATGGAAGCAATGACAAGGAGAATGTCCTTAAGAACACCGCAGAGTGTGAGGACGACAGCAGAAGTCTTGCCAATCTGAGGGGATTGTTAGTAGGAGGTTTCGTAGGAGTTGCCAAGGGAAACATACTAGGAAGACGACGGAGACATTAAGCATGAAAGCGCAGAGACCGTTCAGGAAGAAAGTGAACAGACCAACGTGGTAAACCTCAGCCATCGAGCACCTGGGGATCTCCCAGATAAGAGCAACAACACCGTTCATGACAGCGCAGATGGGAGCAAAATAGTACAGAGAGACAAGAGGGTCCATCTTGTAGTCAGCGGAGCTCAGCAGACGCTGGACCATGGTAAGTCGCAGAGCCTCGAAAATGATACCGCCCATCTGGAAGAGCACACCAACAGTGACGAAGTGGATTTCGCCCATGGAAGCAATGATGACACCGACAACAATGGCAGAGACATTGAGGAACTGCTTCAGGTTGGGAGCAGAAACGCCCAGGATCCAGCCAGAGATCAGAACGGCGACGGGTGTGGTAGCCTTGAGCATCTGAATGAAAGCAACAGACAGGTAGAGATATGTCAAATTTCCGCAGATCAAGCTCAAGCTGAAGAAGATACCGATAGGAACAACAGCACGAACGTAAACGCGAGCTGTCATCTTAACAGTCTTGCGGCCGTCAAGGTAAGGAGTCCATCGGGCCATAACCTGTGTGACGACGGTCGAGAAGGTCAAGTGGTAGGTCGTTAGAATGACGGGGTAGCCTGCGGGTTGACATGTCAGCAAAGGAGCAGTACATCGCGATAATGTCGTTAACGTACGGAAGTTGAGGGTATCGAGGAGCCATTTGTTGAACAGGATGACGGACGATGAGAAACCAATCCATGCACTGCACTACGTGGTTAGCAAAGGTTCTGGCGCATCTTAAAGTCAATTCGTGAGATGATCGAGAAAAGTACTGACATAACGTAGAAAGTAGGGTGAATTGAAGCGCGAGCAGACTGTGACTTCTCAAGACCGGGGTTAACCGTTGGAAGAACAGGAGTGGTCGCACGAGGCGTCTCGCCAGAGACGCGGATCTTTTCGTCAGCCGACATCGTGCTTAATTTATTTGTTGGTGATGTAAAAGATGTGGTTTAAGGTGGTTGAGGCTGTCGGCGAGAAAAGTCGTGGTTGTAGATAAGAGACCCCTTGAAGACAGATTTTAGGGGGGACGCGCAAACGAGCGGACGGACAGCCGAGTCCTGTAATGGAATAGAATCGGGAAAGGCGAGGGGTGCTTGATATGCAATTTGGCGGGGCCCAGGAGAGACAAGGTCACAAAGAAGAGAAAAAAGGCGAAAAAAGGTTGAGCTACTTGGACTTTGGTTCAAGGTAGCGTAGTTTCGCAAGGGATAAGGTAAAGAGAAAGACTGAAGAAACAAGGCAGCAAGACAAGAAGTCGTCCCTGGTACAAGAAGAAGAAAGAGGGAGGAAATGAAAAAAGGAATGAGAGGGATGGCTTGGGATGAAGAAGGGTACTTCAGTTGGTAAAAGGGGAATAGGCAATGTTGACTAGATCTCCAAATCCCATCCAGGGGGGGTGGTGTGGGCTATTATTGTTATTTTGGATGGAGGCAAGGCAAGCTAAGGGTGAGGCGCGGCAATCAAAAAAATATTATGGAAGGGTTTTCCCCTCTGAAATTGGCATTTTTGACGCATATGAGTGGAGGAGCCACAAAGCTCAGTGTGGATGGCCGGCCCTGCAGTGACTGACTAGCACTGGGCCCTCAGCCAGTTCAACACGAACAAAGTGGATGACGGAACGAGACAATTCTCATGCTCAGGTACTGGTACCCCCAGCCGTGTACCACGCGAAGCCTGCAAAAGCTGATTTGACGCGTGTACAGGGGCAACTGTTGGAGGGATGCAAGGTACTGTGTACAGATACTGTAACTGGAACAGGAACTGGCTGATGTTGTTCTATTCAGGGGCATCCGTTAGTTACGGCCGAGCCAAGCCTGGCGAATCATCCCGCCCACGTTGGGAGATCGCCCTCCAATTGTCGTTGTCGGATAAGCTGAGGGGTCTTTTTGCACTGTGCGCTTACTGCATTTCGATGTGAATCTGGACTTTGGGATGATGGTGAGAGTTCAAGGGAGGAATGTTTGTGGCTGAATTGCTCCATTCAAGATAGGTACCTATCAACCAGAGACAGAAAGAACAAATGCACCCTAGAATAGTTTAGCCGCTCAATCAGCACTGTTCCTGCAAGAGGATATTTTCGAGAATTTGCTGGACTCTGTATCTAACGTTAGGCATCTACAACTGTCAACTGTCAACGATGGAGACCTTGACACCCGCCCCAGTTTGGATAAACCTCCAACTGCCGGAACCATCTCGAATTTGGACGTTTTCGTCTAAATACCGTCCGGAAAGATCTAGATCCTGTCTAGTAAAGGAAACAAACCCAATTATCAAGTAAGGCGTGGTTCGCACAGATGATGAGTTCCATAAAGTTCACAA